GTTGGACTTCAAGGGAGGCTGGAGCAATCATTTGCCGTTGGTGGAATTTGCATACAATAATAGGTATCAGGCAAGTATTGGGATGGCACCATATGAGGCATTGTATGGAAGACCATGTTGGTCCCCAACTTGTTGGTTGGAAGCTGGGGAGAGTAGTTTATTTGGGCCAGAGATTGTTTGGGAGACTACGGAGGAGATCAAACTCATTCGAGAGAGACTACGCACGGTGCAAAGTAGATAGAAGAGCTATGCGGATCAAAGATGGAGACCGTTGGAATTCCAAGAGGGAGACTATGTGTTCCTCAAGGTATCGCCCAAGAAGGGGGTGTTTAGATTCGACAAGAAGGGGAAATTAGCACCAAGATACATCGGACCCTTTGAAGTGATCAAGGTGATAGGCAAAGTGGCGTATCAACTTCGACTACCACCTTCGTTATTGGGAGTACATGACGTGTTCCATGTGTCAATGTTGAGGAAATGTCAATCGGATAAAACACATGTTGTGGATTTGCAGGTTATTGAAGTTCAAGATGGAGCAACAAATGAAGAACAACCGGTAAAGATTCTCAACACCAAAGAGAAGGTACTACGCAACAAAGTAATCCAACTAGTGAAGGTTTTGTGGCAACATCACGGAATGGAGGAAGCTACTTGGGAACCTGAGCGAGATGCGAGAGAAGTACCCGTATTTATTCGCTACTTGAGGTAAGTTTTGATGACGAAACTTTCTTTAAGGGGGGTGTATTTTAAACCCCACCCTTTTATCTTTATTTATGTATGAAGGTTTATGTAGCAAGTTTTTACTTCTTTTGGAAATGTTAATATGGAAATTCGAGAAAATGGTAGTTAAAACTTAGTTTAGCTGGCAACAATATGAAATTGTTGTAACAAAACTTGTACCAACTTGGTTTGAGCTTCAAAAGCATGTTGAATAAGCTTGGGTTGGATTTGGAAGGGTTTGGAATGGGTTTGAAATGAAAAATAGAGAAAATAGGCAAATTTGGATAGGACCTACACGTAGTACTCTGTCTAGTGGATCCGAACTACCGGTAGTCAACAGGTAGCAAATGTCTAATAGATCCGAAATACCGGTAGTCAACAGGTAGTCAGTGGCGAGTGGATACGAACTACCGGTAGTCAATAGGTAGTAAATGTCTAGTAGTTCCGAACTACCGGTAGCTCAACAGGTAGTAGGTTGCCAGTGTATCCAAACTACCAGTAGCTCGATACGAACTACCGGTAGATAGTTAAAAAGTCGAGATTTTCTGCTTTTAAAACCCCATTTTTACTACATTTACTCCCATTCTTTCACTCCACTCTCACTCCACACCTTTTAAAACCCTAATAGAAAGACTTAGAGAGGAAGAAAGAAGGGGAGAACCAGAGTTCTAAAGGGGATTAAAGATCAAACCTAACTTCTCCAAGAACATCAAGGTAGGGGTTTTTTTTTCATTCTTGTCCATTGATGGTAGGGCTAATATATATGTATTCTTTGACTCTAAATCTTGTATATTTGCTATGAAATCATCTTTTCTTGGTTTTCTTGCAAAGATTACATGTTTTGAACAAAGTTAGGGTTGAATACCCATGATATCTCTTTTCTTGCTTCAAAACCCTAGTTTTTGGAGAGTTATGGATTTTCTTCTTAAATTCTTCCTTTATTATTGATTTCGAAACTATAGTGCTTTGTGTTGAGTAATAAAATGATGTGGTTGTGATTTCTTGTATTTTTCTTAATTGGTTTTGGAATTGTCACATGATAAATTTAGGGATTTTTGAGATATGATTGTAAATTAAGAAATTGAGTTTGGTATTGTATCTCTCATGAGTGTGGGAGGACCATGGGTGAACTTTGACGTGATATCGTAGAGTGGGTAGATGTTATTCATAGTCCGTGTAAGTTTGGACTTTTCCTACCACTCGTAGCGGCGTTAGTGTTTTGGTAAGACTAAACCGCTATTGCTCATGGGTATCGAGGCAAAGGGTTAGTATACTAATGCCTGGATTGGATACGTCACTGCCATTGGTATGGTATACGCCCTTCCTAAAGGTTGGATATCTTTGAGAAGATTTGGGTGTGTATGTGTGGGCTAGATGTTACGCAATGCGTTGATTGATGTGGATGCCTTACATCATGTTTGAGATACATGTATATATCATTGTGAAATGTTCAAGTTATGAATTATTGTTCATTGTACCAGAAATAATTTCTACAAAAATTTTGGGAAGTATGAGATTCTGCAAGAACTTGGGAGAAACGGTTTATGGTGGAATGGATTATTAGTTGTATATTGGTTTCACTTATGCATTAAATTACTGTTGTTGCTTAAACTTGAGATCTGTTTCAAATGTCCTTGTTTTCTTCAAAAATTCGTATATGCTATTTGTGAAAGGTGGCCGACCGTTTTTATATGCTTTTCTAAATCTTGTTCGAGTTTGGGAGGAATGTTACTACAGAACTTAGTGCTAACCCCCTTACAACTGCATTTTTCAGATTATGTACTAAAGGAGGATTTGAGAGTAGATGAACCGGCACACTGGGAGATTCCCGTATATGGGCATGTTGATCCTGAGGTGGATGTTTAGAACAACATTACTTTTTATTCTGGACTAGGAAATTTATTTTGGAAATATTGTGAAGTCTAGACTAATACTTTGATATTCCGCTGCAAGTTTAAATGTGATTCTTTTGGGATGTAATTATCATAGTCGATCACATTCTTTTGGGATGTAATGGCCATGGTTGGCCTATTCTTCTGGGGTAATATTGTAAATGTGATATTTGATGGATGAAATTTCTTAAATGATGAAATTATTTAGTTTCTCTCATGCGGTGAATAGTTTTTAGTTTGTAATGTCGTACTGGGTGTGTTTTGGGGCGTTACGCCATATAACTCTTACCTCAATTCCGTGGGCTTGATTATGAAAATCCTTACCTTCACATGAAAGAATTTGAGGACATTTGTGGGACCCTTCAAGATAATTCTAAGTTAGCTAAGCTAAAGATTTTTACATACCCTTTACAGAATAAAGGTCAAGCAATGGCTTAACACCCTTAAACGCCACTCTATGATGGTTTGATCCTCACTTGAAAAAGAGTTTTTCCATAAATTCTTCCCTATTTACCGCACAAATGCTTTAAAATGCCATATATTGAACTTTGTAGTAAAGGAGGGAGAAACCTTCTATCAATGTTGGAAATGGTTCAAAGACCTTCTCCAAGCTTTTCCTCATCACGGGTTCAAGAGTTGAACCCTTGTTGGTTTTTTCTATGACTCACTTCCTACCTATATGCGTCAATTTGTTGAAATGGTGTCCCAAAAAGAATTCATGGACAAGAATCCCAATAAGGCATTTGTGTTTTTCGAATCACTTTCTGAGAGTTCTAGATGTGGGACTCACCTTCACCTACTCCAACCCATAGTTAGTCTACCACTTTATCGGAGGATCGATTGATGTGGCACTATAAGAAATCTGGACATTTCTCGGTACAGAGTGCTTACCATCTAGTCGATGAACAAAACCTAATAAAAGTAGAACACAATGTAGGTTCCACAAGTAGAGTTGTTAAACGATGGCCAAGTATGTATATTTGGTCCTTTAAGGTGCCAAATAAGGTTAAGAATTTTGCTTGGAGGTTATTTAATGATATCTTACCCACCTTGTGCAATCTACAAATGAGAAGAATTCCAGTTATAAGTGAATGTTATATGCAAGGAACCTCTATGAATCATCTTCTCATTTATTTTTAAGTTGTCCTTATGTCACTATTGTTTGGAAGTTGGCTAGTCTTCAATTTTCACTAGCAAGGGTATCAACTATTTAGGAATGGCTTGTCTTCATTTCAGAAAATCTGCTGCATGAACAAGTTGCTTTGGTTATTATTTTAGCTTGGTCCATTTGGTATAACAGAAACAAATTCCAAGTTGATGGGTGTTCGAAGTCTCCTTTTGGAAGTTGTTCAGTTCTCAAAAGACTATCTCCGTCAATATTTCAATATACGATTTTGTGATCCTAGTACCAATATTCCACCTGTTCAAATACTTGATTTTTCTTAGGAAGCTCCACTAGTTTCATGTTAAGATTAACTTCAGTGGTGTTGTTTTCACGTCCTATGGATATTCAGGTGGGTTGTTGTTGTACGGGATAATTGTGAAAAAATTTTGACTGGTTATAGCAAAAGAATTGCTAAGTTTTTAAGTTCTAATAATAGGGAAGCTTTAGCAGCTTCTTTTGCTATCCAGTTGGGATATAATCTTGGCTTTCAGAAAATAGTGCTTGAAGGGGATTCCAAGATGGTTATTGAAGTTGTTCAAAATAATCAGGAGGATCTTGCGAAATGGGTAATTTTATGGAACAAATTCGGGATTATGTGCACAAATTTGATTCTTTCATGGCCTCTTGGATTTGCAGGAAATGAAATGTTGTTGCTCATTGTTTAGCAAGATTTGCTATACATTGTAATTGTAAAGGGTAAATATTAAGGACACCTCTCATNATGGTTTGATCCTCACTTGAAAAAGAGTTTTTCCATAAATTCTTCCCTATTTACCGCACAAATGCTTTAAAATGCCATATATTGAACTTTGTAGTAAAGGAGGGAGAAACCTTCTATCAATGTTGGAAATGGTTCAAAGACCTTCTCCAAGCTTTTCCTCATCACGGGTTCAAGAGTTGAACCCTTGTTGGTTTTTTCTATGACTCACTTCCTACCTATATGCGTCAATTTGTTGAAATGGTGTCCCAAAAAGAATTCATGGACAAGAATCCCAATAAGGCATTTGTGTTTTTCGAATCACTTTCTGAGAGTTCTAGATGTGGGACTCACCTTCACCTACTCCAACCCATAGTTAGTCTACCACTTTATCGGAGGATCGATTGATGTGGCACTATAAGAAATCTGGACATTTCTCGGTACAGAGTGCTTACCATCTAGTCGATGAACAAAACCTAATAAAAGTAGAACACAATGTAGGTTCCACAAGTAGAGTTGTTAAACGATGGCCAAGTATGTATATTTGGTCCTTTAAGGTGCCAAATAAGGTTAAGAATTTTGCTTGGAGGTTATTTAATGATATCTTACCCACCTTGTGCAATCTACAAATGAGAAGAATTCCAGTTATAAGTGAATGTTATATGCAAGGAACCTCTATGAATCATCTTCTCATTTATTTTTAAGTTGTCCTTATGTCACTATTGTTTGGAAGTTGGCTAGTCTTCAATTTTCACTAGCAAGGGTATCAACTATTTAGGAATGGCTTGTCTTCATTTCAGAAAATCTGCTGCATGAACAAGTTGCTTTGGTTATTATTTTAGCTTGGTCCATTTGGTATAACAGAAACAAATTCCAAGTTGATGGGTGTTCGAAGTCTCCTTTTGGAAGTTGTTCAGTTCTCAAAAGACTATCTCCGTCAATATTTCAATATACGATTTTGTGATCCTAGTACCAATATTCCACCTGTTCAAATACTTGATTTTTCTTAGGAAGCTCCACTAGTTTCATGTTAAGATTAACTTCAGTGGTGTTGTTTTCACGTCCTATGGATATTCAGGTGGGTTGTTGTTGTACGGGATAATTGTGAAAAAATTTTGACTGGTTATAGCAAAAGAATTGCTAAGTTTTTAAGTTCTAATAATAGGGAAGCTTTAGCAGCTTCTTTTGCTATCCAGTTGGGATATAATCTTGGCTTTCAGAAAATAGTGCTTGAAGGGGATTCCAAGATGGTTATTGAAGTTGTTCAAAATAATCAGGAGGATCTTGCGAAATGGGTAATTTTATGGAACAAATTCGGGATTATGTGCACAAATTTGATTCTTTCATGGCCTCTTGGATTTGCAGGAAATGAAATGTTGTTGCTCATTGTTTAGCAAGATTTGCTATACATTGTAATTGTAAAGGGTAAATATTAAGGACACCTCTCATTAAAGATTTGAATTTGATATTTCTGGTAATGAATATTTCTGAACTTGATCTCCCAGTCTTTGCTTCCTGTAAAACGAATAAACTGCCCAAGATCGAGGTGCTTCGATCGAAGTCACTCCGATGCTTAAGTCAGTAATGGAACTGAGATAATTGCAAGAAGACTAGGAGAGTTTAGCGTAACTTTCACCTTAGTTCCTTTGGGTTTTTATAGATTATTACCCCATTAGGGTTTCCGTGATTTTTGGTTCAAGGTGGCACACCTTCCTTTAATCATGCGTTTCAGTTTAGGAAGTTACTGATATTTCTCTAGTAATTCCTCTTGGTATCGTCAATTTCGTTGATTCGTTTATCTGAATGGCTAAGTTATAGGCGAATTTCCATCTTTCTATCTATCGTTTCGAACAACTTGGACATAATAAGGGCCGAACACTTTCGATGTTTGCCGAGCTGATTGATCAACTTGGTTTGGTACAAGCCGAGATATTTCGTTGCCTTGTCGAACATATTAATGATCTTGGTTGGGAACAGACTGACCTCCAATATTACTTAACCGAACACGTTGGTTAGTTTGGCTAAGACATTTTATCGAGCAGCTGATGTCTTCGTCACGTGCCATGTCTTATCATCCTCACATAAGCTCATTAATTACCATAACACGTGTAATAATGAGGGCTAGCCCCTTCAATAATAGTCCAAAGTTTTAGGACAGAGGAGGAGATTCCCTCGTTTCTGTTACCTACCCTCCATGCCAATGTAATGATGTTTTTTAATGAAATATATGTCATTCTTTTCTCAAAATAATAATAATAATAATAAATCTACTTACATTTTAAACACAAAAAAAGAGAGTATATGTTTGCACACTTGTTGTGCATTGCACGAATAACAAGACCAATCACACATAGCACACATACAATACATCTACCTAAAGAGTATAAATTATGTACTATAATGCATATAAATCAAGTTTTTAAAATAATAATTAAACACACTTCTATAATCAAATAGTACCTAGACTACCATAAGGAATGAATTATTGTGTCAAAATTATTATTTTTTTCTTTGTAACTTTGTGTCAAAAATTAAAACTAAATAGAGTCTATTTATGATTTATTAGGTGTTTGAGTTCAACTAAAAAAAACTAGTTATGACACATTGGCTTTGGTCAGAGGTAAAAAGAAAAGTCAAAATTGATCATTAAACTGTTGGGATTTTTCTGTATTGAACTTTCATTACTTGATAGTTAATTTTGTGTTTGTGAAAAATGGGCTTAATTTATAGTCTAATGCTATGAGCCTAATATTGTTAAGTAATCTATTTTTATGGGCTTATGTACATCCTTTTAATTGATGTGGTTGAAGAGGTAAAGTGTAAGCCTTAATCTAATTGTGACTCTTAATGAAAGAGCCCACTAGATTCATTATAAATAGTAGACTAGGTCCCCTCTTCATTTAATAACCTAATTTGGCTTATCCCATTGACCTAATTTGGCTTGTCCATTGAGAGCCGCCTATTGATTTGAAGAATGAGAGAAAAACCTTACCATTCAGTGAAAGAAACCAGGAGATTGAATATCGTAGCTCAAACAAGTACGTTCTAAACTTTGAAATTTAGGTATTCTAAATTGTATATAAGAATCGTTAAAATTCTTACGTGTGGTGTTAGAGCCTATCATATATAAATTTAGAACTCAATTTATTTTATATTTTTATTTATATAATTTAGAGATTTCAAAACAATTTTTTGTGATGTTGGCAGAACCAAGTTTCTCAACACAGTTGCTATCATTGGCCATGGTTGTTGATGGGCTCGGCCCAAGTCCAACTCAGATAATGGGCTCGACCTAGATCAGGCCCAACACAAATAGTAGGCCTGTCCCAGATAGGGCTGTTGAGTCTGGCCCAAATTTAGTCAGGCTCACTAATGCCCTAAGAGTAACGTCATCCTAAAGTCATGGAGTTAGCGACACCATCAGAGAGCCTCATCCACGCCATCCTGGGACCAAGGCTTGAGGAGGTCTTCTCGCCCCCTCTGCAATTGCCTCATCTGTTGCGAGGATGACGACCACTCCACCAAATCAACATTTCTGTTACTAATAAGGTGCCTCAATCTGTTAGGAGATGCCTATAAATTGGAAGCCCCACCTACACATGAGGCTCATTGCTCACATCTTGTATCGCACCTATTACTCACACTTGAGCACCCAACACTCATTGAAGCAATAAAATACCTAGGCCATCCTAGCCCTTTACAGTGGAGTAGGTCACATTGACCGAACCATTTAAATTGTGTTTTGCTTATGTTGAATCTCTTCCACATTTACTTACAACATTAATTACTTGACAGATGGTGCATAAAATCAATTTGTGCATCATCAGTTAGATGTCGTTTGTGGTAATCGACAAACTTTTCACCCAATCATCTTTCTTTCTGTATCTATGATGATCACCACCAGATCCATGAATCAGCCTGAAGATGATCCACCATGTAAGAAGGAGGTCTTACCTCTACCATCCAATCCCATTCCTGACCTATAGCAAAGGTTACTGGAGACGATGAAGCTCCTGGTAAACCAAAACCAGTAGATCCTCAAACTAATGCTTGTTGGACAACGAGGTGCGCAACTTAGGTAGAGCACCCAGCCAGGGGAGTACCTTAGGCACCTTGCCCAGGGCGACAAAGAGGCCTCCAGTTGAGTGCCTACTGCCAGGCCACTCATCAGTGCTCCCTCCTTGTAGCAACAGGAATCCCTTACTCAGCGCCAAGGGTGGCCCCTCCACCTCCTCCACTAGCTCTGTCCTTCCACGCTAGTGACCCTAATCTCCAAGAAAGACGAGGGGGAAAACAAGAGTCTTGACCACAAGAGCCACTTGAATGACCCTTCCAAAGGAGTCCCCAATCACTGGGACAAGAAAATCAAGGAAGTGCTTAACCAATTTGGTGATGTCTTCAATGCCATGAAATTGTAAAGACCTGAAACTGTTGAGCACCTTGTAAGGTGCATTGACATGCCTTTCATAGCCTATGTGGCAAATTATCCTTTCTCCCATAAATTTAAAATACCAACTATGGAGGCCTTTTATGGCACAAAAGACTCGCTAGATCACCTCAACACCTGTAAATCTCTGATGTAGCTGCACAACATTCCTGATAAAATTGTATATAGAGCCTTCCCAACTACCCTGAAGGGATATAGTCGTTAGTGGTTTGCAAGTTCACCCCAGCCTCTATAGGCTCCTTTGTCGAACTAAGCAGATCTTTTGTTGCACACTACATTAGAGGACGCTGCCACCAGAAGCCTGCCACCCACCAGCTCGGCATAAAGAAAATTGAGACGAGTGCCTGAGGAGTTATCTCACTCGTTTTAACAAGGAAGTCCTCCGTATTGAGGACCCCGATGATAAGGTCACCATGATAGCCTTTCTGGGAGGCCTCCACTCATTGAGTTTCCTCTTCTCAATAATGAAGCGCTCACCAAAGAGTATGCTAGAGCTATTGGAGAAAGCTTAAAAGTATGTGAATGCTGAGGACATCACTAGGGCTAGGCAAGGTGAGTCCTCACGAGAGGGAGAGAAAAGGAAAGAGAGAGACCGAGACGATAAGAGGGAAACTGGAAGCAAATGAAGCAGGACAAAGAGGGTGCCCACTAAAGACCGGCTTGGTCTTGGCCCTCAGAAAGAGCGACAGATCTTCATGCCGCTCAATGCCTCTATTGGGCACATCTTAATTTTGATCCAGGATGACCCTACAGTGAGGTGGCCAGGAAGAATAAAGTATCCTCCAAATCAAAAGAATTCAAGCAAGTACTGTCACTTCCATTGCAACCACGACCATGACACCGATGATTACTATGAGCTCAAAAGACAGATTATGTGATGCCCCTAAAACCGAGGGTCCTTTGTCAACACGTTGACCAACCATTAACTCGCAGAAACTCCTACGAATGCCACATAACCCGTCATCACTGCACAACATCCCCTTTACCGAGATCACAATACTTCAAAGTTTGGGCAGAGTCTCCCTTGCATCGGGCACTCCCAAACGCATAACATGTATACTTTATCACATCACCCATCCAAGATCCAATATACCACAATTTATACTCTATTATTGTCCATTTACATCATTTGAATAAAAGGACACAAAGCCCGAAAGGATAGCAAAACATTCTTAAAAATTGAGATTTTTGGAAAACCTATCGGTAGGTCTATCATCGTTTTACCGGTAGGTTTTGCTCACTGGAAAATTTCTACCGGTAGAAGTACTCGACGTTCTACCGTTAGGTTTTACCAATTTTCCTACAATTCTTTTCGTTTTCAATTCCAATCCATTCCAAACTTATACAACCTCATACCAAACTCATATAACATCAAGTTCAAGCAAAATATAGTTCATATAAGTTCACATTACAATTCTTTCCAATATTAAATGTCCAAAACTATATAACATAATAATTTTTATTAAACATGTTTCAAAAGCCACATCTCGGCTTTTTTTCAATCATGAGGCCCTAAATGAGGGCCTTCCACCGTTGTGTATCCCGCACCTGAAATATTTTCCCATAAAGAGTGAGTCATGCCCAATAGGGGTATCTCCTAAAGAGGCTACTCTCCAACCTAGATGCATACGAAATGCCAATTGCAATTTCAACAAGCCACATAGCATTCCACTCAAGAATATGAAATTCAATGTTGGAATTCACCATGCCATATCATGATATGAGATGCGACTCACTCATGCACATCAACCCGAGCCTTCATCAACTCCCTCAACACATGCAAATGCCATGCGTACAAATTCAAGCATTCTAAGCCCCCGCCATTGATGTTACACATCCAATGACCATTTGAAATTTATGAGTCTTTCTTGGAGTGGATATTTATAGACTTACACCTACAGACAGCCAATCGATACCAAATTCATAGACTTCCACCAACGGTTCCGC